CGCTCTGCATTAAGGATACTGGTGGTGCCCCTACTTTCCACGCGCGACGTTTCGGGATGAAATCGGGATAATGCGCCGTCCAGGCAGGGTCAGCGGTCTGTACAAACCATTCGAATAGGGGAGGTGGTCGTGTTTGTTTATGGAGTAAGGCTGGTGTCAGAGTCCGCGATCCGTCGCGCGATTCGCGCGAATCGCGCTATGTATCACAGAGTCGCAAGTGCTCGATCATACTGCGAGGTGCTCTCCAATCCCGCCGCCATTTCTGCTTGATGGTGATGGTTGAATGACGACTGTTCATGATTCTACTTGTTTCATATTCAGTGTTTCAAATGTTCGAATGGGGCACCTGCGATTCTTGCGAATCGCGCGACGGATCGCGGACTCTGACATCAGCCTAAATGAGGTCGTAATGCTAGAGGATGAGCCAGTTCATCCCTCCCGCCTCCCCGCTCCCTTTTTAAAGATGCTGCGATCTGCAGTGTTGTTATGGCAGAGCTAAAATGCCAGTACCTCAGATCTGGCTAGATAGACGAGGTGAAACGCGAGTACTGCCTGGACCGCGAGGAGAATGGGAAGTATGTGAAGTTCGGCAGTCTCAAAGAGTTATTTCGCAATTTTATGTATAATATGTGCTTCCATCATAACACGACGAGCGCCAGAATGGCTGACTTTCACAAGCCATAACAGGAGGAAATAGACTTTCAAAGGCCTCCGCGATTTTGAGCCACACGCGTGTGCGTGGCACATCTCAGAACGGGGCTTGCTCGCGCCAGCGCTTTGAATTCAAGAATCAGATTGTTTTGGATGCGGCTCAGTATATTCGGACCAAATAAGATCTAGGAAGTGTAACAATTGAGAATTGATTGGATTGACTTCTCGAGGCTGAAAACAAATGAACCTAAGGGCAGAATTGGTAGGTCGCAAATGCAGGTGCAATGCTGGAGCGGGTGGGTTTCATCAAGATCATCCGTTATGTGTGTGCCCAAACATGATTTGATTCGAAGTTTGAGGAAAATGCAGGGCCTCTGGGGTTTAAAGTTCCTTACCTTGATCCACAATCTGGCTTCATGGACGAGCAAGTCGGCCTCTTCTCGTACTCGTACATATTGTCAGTGTAACTATTCGAAAGCACATCCTGATTTGTGAACGGGTCCAATTCCTAAATAGAGTCTCAATTCCAATTGATCGATAACAAGATAAAATTTAAAG